CGAGTGGAGGAAAGTAATTTTCGTAGAGCGAGTGGAACGAGAACGCGGAACTCGTAGAGACCCGTGTTTAGCGCTATAAACGCGACGCTAAATTGAAGGGGGAGAACCTGAAGGATTTGACACGAATGACAGGTTGATGCATCGCGCCACAGTATCAGGCTGGTGCTCTTCCGGGCCCTCGGCGGTCGACTTTCAAAGAACCACCGCGTCAAGTATGCGACATTTAACCTTTACTTTCTATTATTATTATCTTATTATTAGTCTCTCTTGCAGACCTTTATTTTCTCTCCTTTAAAGCTTTTCAGACCGTGTGGATCCTTCGTTTGTCTTTCGTCCTGTGTCGTTACGACGTTTTCTCGACGATTTCAATTTCTATGTGTTAGTTTCTACGTTCAGTTTCCATTTCTCTTTGTGTCACACGCGACCGCTCTTTCTCTTTCTCTCTCTCTCTCTCTCTGTACGATATATCTCTCTTTCTTTCTTTCTCTCCCTCGAGCGAAACTGAATGCCAATGTACGAGGAGTAAACGGCCTGTTGCAACGCCGATACGTTTATTAAGTCCCGTTTCCCCGATAAGTCGATGAAACTGTTGCACGGAGATTAAGGAGCGACGATAGGCGTATCGCGGGTGCGCGTTCTCTTTCGGGCGCATAATTAGCCGCGCGGCCACTGACTCGGAAATCGCACGCGATGATGGTTACGTAATCGCGGCCCAGTTCGTGCACACACACACACACACACACAAATGCGATAATTCCGATTTTCGCGAGTGCGAAAAGAAAGGCGTGTCAAATCGTATTCCACGTGGAATGTAGGCTCGATGAGCTCTCTTCGTGTTCGCCCCGTATTTCCTGTAGACGTCTTTTTAATTACGCTCTCCTTAGTGTGCGTGGCGAGATAAGAAAATATTCCCCTTCCCGCCGGATGTCGGTTTCTTTTTATGTCAAATCGCCACGCTCTCTTTCGAGAATGCGAATTTCAACTTTGTTCGACTCACGCTCCAATTCGCTCGGCCGTTATTATTATATTTTTATTTATTTATTATTTTTATTGTTATTTATTACCATTACTTTTACTTGTCTTCATTCGAGTCGGAATTTATACAAGCCGTTGTCTTACCTTGATTCTACAAATGGCTTCCCATTATTGCTGCCTCCATGTTGAAACCTTAAGAATCACTTGTTCAAGAATTACTTAATATTCGATTATATCAATATTCTACCCGCATTCAGTTCTTACTCTCAATTTCAGTAAGTTACGTGAAATTATCCAATCACCATTTATTAGAGCAGAATAAATGTGTACGATAATATAATGTTAAATAATTAATTGGAGGAAATATACAACAGCAAGCTTCCTGTTTCGCTTTCTTATTATTTTTTGTCGGTGTTGGAAATTTCGATAAGATTTGGATGTTCGGAAAAGAGGCGGGGAAGAAAGAGTTGCGAGTAAGCGTAAAGAAAGCAGTTGTGCAAATATTAATTTAAAATTGGCTTCGGTACGATAACAAGGATAAGCAGAAGAAAAAAGAAAGCATTAGCATATTCAAGGTGAAAGTCGCGCCTCGAACATTATTAGAAAACAAACCTCAGCAGTTGCGAAATTTAAATATCGGTACTCGTAGTCGTAAATTACTTACGATCTTTAATTGCGAGCATAATTCACTTAGCGTAACTAATTAATAGATTCGTATTCACGGGCCGTTATTCGATGGAATATTTATCAAACAACAACGGACTATGAAATGTCGGCGTTAGAAGTAGATTTAAATTTCTACTCGAATATCTCCATTTTCTCGGTGGGTTCGTCAGATGTCAGTTAAAACAGGAAACATCTTGAGTAGTAAATAATTCGACGCAGCTACGACATGGATAATGTATTACCGCCCGCATTCCGGCGTCCTTCGTCTTGGATTCCAACATCCCGCCCTGACTGATCCCGTGATTCTGGACGCATTCATTAGCACTGACAATCACGCAGATGCGATTCCGTCGGAGAAACGCGTTTCAATTAACGCGATGCCGACGAGAGTCCGTGGAAATATTTCATTCGCCCGACAGAAATGTAAACAACGCACCGATACGCACGTGTTCCACGTCATGGTTGTGTGAGCCTCGCTCGTGTCAAGCGGCTTGAAACACGTAATGACCTGTAATGACCCGGTCATAAAATAGTACGCAACGTAAGACAGCACCAAAACAATTGATACCTTTGAAAAGGACAAAACCATTGCTGATCGTCGGCCGATCAACAACCAACGCCAACAGCCATTCGGCGGCTGAGAAATCACGATACATACGTACATTCTGAGAATATTTTTGACACTTGAGGCACAGTAACAAATTTTTTTTCAAATTTAACATATCCCAAACGATCCGTTCTAATTTCTGTGTAATTTAACACAAGGTGAATGTATTGAAAAGTAATACGAATATGATCAGAAATTAACGCGAAATTAAATACATTAATCGAAGTATAAAACGTGTTATTTTAATACTTACGTTGAACATCGACACAACACAAAATTGTCGAACTAAATATAATATATTAAATAATGGGCGTGTTAAAAATTTAACACAGAAATTTTTGCAAGAACCGATTTTAACACGAGTAAAAGATATTTTTGACTGTGGGTAATCGAATGATCAAATTGTTATGACGATTAAACGCAATTAGTGCTCAACCGTGTTTCCGATCGACCTGTACTTTCGTGTGGTACCTTTCACAGTTTGGCCATGACGACAATCAGGAGCTGACTCCAGGACGGATTATAGGATGCAGCATGCAGTATTCAGCGATCAGCAATATTTAGCGACAGGCTCAGACGACAAGTTCTTCTTTTCCACCTATCTTGAATCTTCTGGTCTTTTATCGAAATTTATAACGTCAATAAAAAAATCATGAGATTATGAAAGAAGAAAATTTATATCGTGTTATATATATTTACTTATTTGTCCATTAATTTCTATTAGATTGAGCCATTTTTATCGCGTTAGTCTTTTTATAGTTGATATACTCCATTAATTTTTCAGGTTCAACGGAATTTACCGGATTAACGAAAGGACCGAAATTTCAGTTCGAGAATATTCTTCCGCTTTCTCGCGTGTGCGTGTCAAATACCAAACGCAACGTAAACTAATATAGCATATCGCGTAATGTGCGAGGTTCGCGTATGATGAGAGAAGGCTGTATCTGGCAATCTTCACATGGATGCTGCATTACTATTAAAATACCGTTAAGTCAAATATATCACAATCGCAGACCGGAGGGCGGCCTCAAGCCTTCAAGTATAATTATATTCATCAATCTCCCACCACCATCAGTGGACACTAGTGGTCGCTTGTAGGAGATGCGTAAATTCTTGTAAAACAACTCGGCGAGATAAGATCGGCGATCACTTTGAATATGAACACGTCACTGTACTGTTATCTCAATTTGCTAAGCGGTCATGCGAGATACCGACTTGAGCCGTCGTTAGATAATCCGGCGATCGATCATCATTTCACGGTTAATCTTGAATCTTACCTCTGCATCGCTGCGAAATTCTAAGCATAAATGAAAGCGCAATTAGAAAAGAAGAAGCGTCTTTTCCAGCGTTTCCGAGGAATACCGTCGACAGGTCAAAAGGAAGTCGTCAGCCGTTCAATGGAATCCGGCAAGTAAAATGTGGGCGAGCGGCCGTCCGTCTAGCCGAGCCGAGCGTCGTCGCCACCCGTCTCGCTCATGGAAGCCCGATTTATCATTATCATTCATCCATTCTCAGGCAACGCGCGCACGTCGAGGAGACGCTCCGGACGTTTCGTGCGTCGCTCGAACGGAGCGAGCCGAGAGGCATCCTTTAAAACGTCGATTAGTCAATGCATCAGAGCTGCGAGCGATTATAAACGCACGTATGCTAATGACTATCTCTTTCTCTCATTCTCTCTCGAGGGATCGCCCGGGATCAAAGGACGACAAATCCAGGTGGCTAATGGAAAAATATGGCCACGGGCACCTCTTTGGACGGATCTGACGTCCGATATCGGACGTGATGTCTCCCCGGGAGTGATGCGCTCGTCCGATGAGAGAAAGCACGAATACCCTCCTCTGGAAACCACCGGCGCGATTGTCCCTGAGAGGGGCTGCTATGCTTTCGCTCTTTTCGCCGCTCGAGCGTAAAGTGCGATTTTCGCTCTTGTCTCGCCGCTTTTACCCGTGGATTTCCATATCGCGTATAAATATGAAAGCCGGACGATCAATTTGTTCGGCTACGGGCCGCACGAGGAGGAGGAGGAACGGAAGGGGGGAAGACTCGGGGATTCGAGCATCGGATTCTTGAGCGCTCTTACGGAGAATTCGCGGCGAGTTGCTTCCGCGAGCCGGGCCGTTAACCTTTCGACCGTATCGGTAATTATACGATCGCCGCTCGACGTATCAATTAGAGAGAGTTAACTTAGAAATTTGTCTCTTGTTAGTTGGAAAGCTCGCCCCGCTCTCGCGCGTGTGTCTTCGTGACGAGAGAAATTCAACGAAGCCGAAATTGCCGGGCGCGTTACGCATCGGTAACACGAGCTACAAGAGGGAAACGATGCTCCAATTGCGCTCGAGGATCCTTCGCCGAGACGCGTAAATCCGCGCGAAGGTGAGATACACTCGGTCGTGTCGTCCGCAAATATAGTTCGCAGTGACCGGCCTTACCCGGTTGGCTATTTTCATCGTCGGAAATGGTCCTTAACGAGAATGAAATTATCGAATCATCGCTCGACTTTGGGACGATAAACGGCCAAACGTACCTGCACAGGATAATGCCGGGTAATCAGAAGGCATAACTCACGCTAAACAGCTTCGGTCTTTGCACGCAAATGGCCGGTTACGGACGGAAAAACAGAGAGAGAGAACAAAAGAGTTATTACGGTCGACATCGCCGATCGAAACAGCGCGACGCGCATTTTCACTGCGCTCTCGGGGCGGGTAACGCGCAGCGATAACAGCGGGGCACACATACACAGACGGGGAGGGGGTTTATTATCATCGTCATCGTTATTATTATCAAATACATTAATGGGGTATTAAAAATAAAAGGGACCGTCGGACGACCGTCCCGGAAGAGAGCTCAATATATGTACACGAACAAACTGAGTATTTGTCATCGCGTTGCCGCACGAACGCGCGACGTCCAGGTGGCGCGTGTCGTCGCCTGCCGGAGACGCGAACATCGTCGACGACGACGCCTCGGAAGATATCGAAAAGTGCGTCCACTTCGTAGGAACTGGTTCTGATTTGCCGGCTGCCGTCGTTTTTCATCGTTGTCTCTCTCTCTTTCTCTCTCTCGTCCTCCGACGATCAGATCATCGATGGCGACACAGGGCGACGTCCGGGCTCGTAGATCGTGGCCGGAGGAGTCATCAAGATATGACGCACTTCTCGGTGTCCTTCTGCGCCTGATTCGACGACGACGAGGACGCGGGCGCTCGTTTCCTCGCGCACGCCACCGCGTCGTTCGGCACGTAAGAGATCCTGACGCCGCCGTAGGCCCGCCGGGGCGGCAGCGCGTAAGCCGCGGCCTCGTCCGAGCTGCTGGACGAGCTGCACGTCGAGCAGCAGCTCTCGACGTCGTCGTCCTCGCCGTCCATCCTCGACCTAGAGGTACCCGCCGTACCTGCAAAGATACATCTCGCGTGAGGAAAGCGTTGTTGAATCGATATGCTTCTATCGAGGTGAGGAAGCTCGTCCGGATATTTCGAGGTTTCGCGGTTTAACCCTGGCGGTAACGCGTCAGGCTTTTACGAGGCCTGCGCGCCTTTTCTTTCGCTTATTCCCCCTTCTATATTTTGTGCAAGACGCTGTACTTCTTAGTCCTCTGTCACTCGGAAAAAAAAAGTTGCGTCCATGCGAGCAATTATTAAGTGTACAAATTAATTCGGTGTAAACACACTTCGGCGATTGTTATAAATGCGTTGATAGTTACGAAAGATCCGTGAGTTGGGAAAATTGGGAACTAATAATTTGATCTCATAGTTAGAAATCGTCGAAACCATTGATGGCACGTCATTTCGACGTTGATCGATTATGACATTAGTCCGGGTCTTGGAATCACGTGCGTGAAATTGAGAAAAATGACAGATTAATGTACATCAAATTCCATATTTCATGTTACAGAAACTTTCAGTATTCTCCGATTATTCTAGCATTTTATGTACTATGCTCGCGCCTCGGACTTTACGTCTCTCCCTTGAGACTGCAGCGCGCTCGGCTTCAAGGGAAACACCGCGCAACATTGTCGGTGGGCCTCAATGCTTGTTAAATAATGTGCCGCTCATCGATATCCCCAGGTAGAAAAGTTGTAGCGACGTGAAACGAAATGCATTCGAAAGCTGAAACTGTTCCGCTTGCGATGATGGGCTAACTTTCTCTCTATGTAATCGATTAATTAAGCGGTATCTCAATATATCGCTAAATCTAATTTTACAATTCTTCATATCTGGCTCTTAAATCTACAATTTGTCTAATAATTTACATTTTTGAATTTCTACTTTTTCAACACAAATCGATCGAATTATCTTCTTGAGTTGAAGATAAATCTACGTTGCAAAATACAATTTCGATTTTTATACGAGTAAATTCCAAGGAAATGCAATTAATCGCGTCAAAAAGAATATATCTCTTCTTTTTATAAGAATACATTTTATAATTTAATTTTTCTTAACCATTTCAATTCATGTGTTCGTTATATGCTTTGATTGTATGAGTATATAAAAACTTATATATATATAGTCCAGTTTATTCTTCTGAAACGAGAAAGTTTTCAACTAGTCTCTACCCTGATCAAGTAAATCGCGCTGCTAATATCGCCGTGTTAAAAAAAATCGCTCCTAAACATTATAGTCGCATCATAACGTGCTGAGTAAATTATTTGCCGGTAATAGTCCACGTCTGAATAACGGATTTTTGGTCAACGGCCTTGTCGTAACGTCCACTTGTCTTACACGAGTGAGTGGCTACAAACCTTAAGATAAGGACACCCTTGAAACTACATTGAAAACAGGACTTGGTAACTATTTGACTAAATCTCGGTGATTATCAAGTCCATTTGATAAAATAATTTCAACAATTTCGTTGAAACTATTCAACTAAGTCTCGGTAATTGTTACCAAATCCTTTTCCTCGGCATACCATTCATAGAGCACAAACGTTACGCACCCCAAGTCGACGTGCTGGCAACTTCCTCGGGTTGCAGACTCCTCGATCGGGATACGTTCGCCCTCGTCAGCGAGGCGGGCGGTGGGGAAGGCGACGACGATGAGTTCCGGTCGTTCGTCAGCGAGAGAGGTATACGCGACGTCGCGCCGTGATCGTTGATGTCCAGGTCCCCTTGGAATCGCACGCGTCGCGACGTCGGCGTCGGCGGGTCCGTCTGGCTCGCTCCGACCGGAGTGACCGGCGACGTCGCCGTCTCCTGCGCCAATACGGCGGCGGACGCTGCGCCGGCGGTCGATGTCGACGCCGACGCTCCCGACGACGGCCGCGGGGGCGGCGGCAGTTCCGGCATGCTCGACGCGTGGGAAGGAGTGCAGTTCTGAACACATCTGAGGGGCTCTCGGTCTCGTGCTTGCATCAGCCTGCAATGCAATCGCGATACGCGGCGTTAACGCGTCCTCTGTAACCGCTGGGTCTGTTTTATCGCTATTCGTGAGGTTGCTCGATCTCAAGAGCGAAGATATTACGTATTCGGTGCGTTAATTCACGCCCAGTAAGGCACAACAGTTGAGTAATTTGACTCTTCGAAAATGGATGCATATATCGTGGTAAATCAAATATCACACACCGATCATAGGTATTTTTTTACTTAATGGTTGTATAAACGTTGCATTCGTTGAACGCCACCGATATATTAGAAGTAATATAAAATAGTATGTACTTAGTAGCAAGAAATCGTTGACATAACATTGTTACAATGACATTTTATAACATATGTTTTCAAATATGTATTTCTTAACGTTGTATACAACGTCATTGTTAATAGAATTTGTCCTAAATATTAAAAATAATATTTCTACATTGCGATTTTAATATTTAGAAATATGATACAATCCACATAAAATCAATCTTTTACAACATTGATTTTACGCAGATTTTATAAACATTTTGACATTATATCTTATAAATGTTTTTAAACTTATATTTTTAAATATTTAAATTATGACGTAGAAACATTACTTTTAATGTTTTGGTCAAATACTGTTAACATTAACGTTGTATGCAATATTAAGAACTACATATTTGAAAATGTTACATATTGTAAAATATCATTGTAATAACGTTGCGCTGACGATTTCTAGCTTACTGGGTGTACACTAAACCGTTTTCGCGTAATAATAAAGATTATTATTATTATTGAATCTCGGAACTTCGTAATTTCGACTATTTCGATGTTCTTCAAAAAGTATGCGGGAGGGTCTTCGAAGTTACAAGTTTTTAAGATCTTTGGAACTTATCAGATTTAAAAAATTCCCGAGTCTTTTTAAATGTGTTTTACTATTTGAATGGATGTCTTAATTTATTAAATCACAAGCAAGTTCAGTGAGTTTCTGGTGTACATTGTATATCATCTACACTGAGAAAAAAAGTATGAAAAATCCATTTGTTAGATATAAAGCTTAGTTTATAGAAATAAACTTTGTTTCTATGAAATAAATAAACCTCATTATTTTCCTTGCGAATAAAATAAACTTTATATCCTGTAAATAAATTTTTCAGTACTTCTTTTTCAGTATACCTATATATTATTTTATATTATTATTATTATACTTTAGTCGGAAGAGAATGGATAGAATAGAAAACAGAACATCGAGAATTATGGTTAGGGCACAAGTATGACTGGAGACTTTACGGAGTGGTAAAACGTACCTTCCCAATTCGTTGCGGTTCTCGTCGGGATGAGAGCCGCGTTCCTGCAGCAGCCTCTCGAGGTTCCGCTCCAGAAGTACCCTGTCGAGACCACTGGGTCTGGACCCGCTTGAGGGGAAGCCTTCCACGACGAACTCGGGGCTCAGGGTGCTCTGAGTGGGCGTCGTCGCCAAGGAAGCGGAAGCTTGCTGCTTCCTGGTCATCCGAGGCGAGTTCCTAGGCGATCCGAGAGTGTGTCTCGAGCCTGGGGGAGGGGGCGGCGGAGGTGGAGGCGGTGGACTCGACGAACCTTCGCTCATAGCCACCACTTGCCTCCTGCCGGTCCTGTACAGCGAAGAGGCGGCGTTAGATTTTGTCGCGTCGCTCGTCGACGGGAAAATAATAAAACGAGAAGTAGAATAAATAGAATTTATGTTTTCCATTAAAAAAGAGATAGAAAAAAGTTAGGTTCGCGTGACCACTGCTATTGTCAGCATGGTCCAATGAGATAACTAGTTTTCTGGCGGCAACTTTATAGGAAATCTACGAAGACGATAAATAAAGTTTTATAATAAACTTAATAAAAGTAATTCATAAAAACGTAAAGCACCACACTTTTATCATTTTTCCGTGACAGAATTAATAGAATTAATTTTTTTTTTACTAAAAAAAGATATTTTCAATTAATATCGCAATTCTTTCTAACGTGCACTTTGTACGTTGAATTAACTTCAGTAAGAATCTTATATATTTTATCTCGTGTTCTATGATTACAAGAGATTGAATCTGCTGTTTTTCTTCGAGAGAACAATTATTGTTGAGATCTCGTCTCTTCTATTTATGGTCTTACGTTATCAAACGATCCCGGCAGAGACCCGCTAATTATTCCCCATTCCGGGCTCGCCGATCTGCGCGGCGTTCTAAGGACTCACGGCAATTAAAAGCGCAATAAAATTTACATGTCACATTCGATCCTGTTAAACGAGGTCGTTATGTATATAAGTCAAATTTAAATTTAATCGCAGGTGCCTCATTAACAAGTCTTTATGTACGTAAATGGTTCAACGCCTCGGCGATTTCATCGGTAATATATGCTAACTGGGATACATGCTGAATTGCTCATAAAATTATTTACTGTTCGAGTCGCTCTGTGGTCAGCACACACACTGACTATGATTATACGTTTGTGTCAATCACATAGACTTATACAGATAGATCGCGCCCCCGTGAGAGGAATTGGAGATTACATTAAAGTGAGAGAGAGAGAGAGAGAGAGAAAGCAATAGCCTGAATGAGTGTGTCTCTGTCTCAACATGTGCGTTGATGGGGGGAAACAAGGAGAGGAGAACAGCTGTACTAATGACGACTGCGATTCGCAAATCTGTGTTAAATATGAAAAATTGTAACAGTATTAAACATTTGGAAAATGGTAAAAGATATTGTTATACACCCTTCCCCTTGTAATCGTCTTCATCCCTCTTTTAACAAAGAGCGAGCGAGCGAGCGAGCGAGAGAGAGAGAGAGAGCATCACTCACGCAATGTCCCTGTCCTTCAATGCAGTCTTCAGCGCGCCCATAATATAAGTCTATGATCAATCATAAGCTGCAATAAATCCATCTCGGGACATTCGTCCGCGGCAGATCGAGATTACCATCCCGAGCTCTCCCTCGGCTCCTTTTCAACGCGACTGGGAAACGAGACGCCCGACTCGCCGAAAGATCGGCGGGCGTGCGAACGTCCGAGGAGAGAAGTAATGGAATTATTCGGCAGCTACTCTCTTCCATCCGTCAAACCTGGACGATCCCCGACGACATCGGCCGGTGAGACACGGGCGTGACGGCCGCGAGAACTTCAGTCCCGGCCTCGGTCCAGTTCCGCCTCCGTCGAGGAATAAGTTACTCGCCGGCCGCGCCGATGATTTATCGCGACGGCGTAATCGTTTTCTCTCGCGCGCGAACTCTCGGACGCTCGCATCCTGCCGCGTAATCGCGGGACCCTCCCTCCCCGGCGGCTGTAATTTCCCCGCCGCGTCCCGACTACGAGGGCTCGGCGAGAGCGTCGCTCTCTCGGCCGGGACAATGAGAGGCACCCCCTCGTGACCCCTTCTCGCGAGGTATGCGGCTGTACCTGAGGAAAGAGGGCGGCGGCGGCGGCGGCCCGGCGGAGGAGTCGCTCGGTGTTGTCGGCGGTTCGCCCTTGCTGCACGCTATGCTACAGTAAATAGCTCCGCGACGTGGCAGGAACGGCCGGCCGAGGAGGGAGGCGCGACACGTAGCGCAACTGAAGCAGGACTCGGTCGCGTGCCAGTGCTGACCCTCGTGCGACATCTGGCCCTGGTCGACGCCGATCGGCTCGCCGCAGCTATCGCAGTATTCGGCGAAGGACGCGTCGAAGCAACGCAGGCAGTACGGCCGTCCCTCTCGCATCACGTACCTCTGGCCGCCGAGCTGCGGGCAGAAAGAGAGGCGCGCACACCGTGCGTGAATTTATGAGATGTCCGAGGGGTGGGGGAGTCGGACAGCTCGTTTGGGCGGACGGAAGTCGGAAGGTGAGGTACCTCGGGATACGACGGCGCTTCGGCACAAAGAGCGAGGGAGCAGAGTGATGGGGGGGG